CTCTAACTCCTCTATCAGCTTCCATGTGTCCGTCAACATCCATTCCTTGTACTGTCTTCTTTCTTCTTCCTTCCTAATACGGTTATGCTGGTCTCCTTCGACATCTCTTCCAAAGAGTTCCAGTGTTCTTCCACACCCGATCCTTCATGGATGTTGCTCAACGTCTCCCATTTCGTTCTGATGGCTGACGTGAAGATGTGCTTTGTAGTTTCGTCCTGCAGTTCACTTCGTGTGTTGGCGTTGAACTTGAACTGTGGTCTGTCACCAACTTCTGTGAAGGCTTTCAACTTGATTTGGAAGGTAGGTTCCTTGCACTAGATATTGGTGTGAGTGTTGTGAACCTACATCTGCTCCCCTTCTTCATCTCATCTTGTGTCCAGTGGGCTGCATCTCAACGTTCTCCACATTGACATGAAGTCGATCTGATTTTTAGTGTGTCGTGGTGTCTGGTGAAATCAAATCCATGTCGCTTGCTTTATGAATATCCTTGTGTTTGTCACACTGCCTCGCCTCCAATCACCAAATCGTTGAATGCGCAGAAGTCTGCAAACAGTTCTACGTTCTCGTTCATTTCACTGAGTGCTTCTCGACCCATGATCAGTTCTCTTCCTGTGTTGTCCACTCCCAGTTTGGCATTCATGTCACCACACCCACATCAGATTGGACTTTGATGTCGCCAACTTGTGTGGGGTCTTGTCTAGTACTAGTGTTGAAGTTGTCTGTAGAATTCCTCCTTCTTCTCTTCATCTGCATTATTTGTAGGTGCACAGCATGGCATTGTATGATTGTGACTTTCCTCCCTCTTCAGTTGAACCTTGCTGTCATGATCCTGATCCTGATGCTGGAGGAGATTGGTTCCCACTGCATGAGATAGAGCCTTTGATGTTCTTGGGATGGGGACATCATGATAGCCACTGGAAAACTCAGTGTGCTGTGCTCGTGGTTGTCGTGTCGTCTGTGTGACAATATTGGAGTCTATTATTGATTGACTTTGCAGTTGACAGTTTGGAGAGTCCACTTCCATTCCATCTACCGATTACTCTCAGATTCCTAGCCTTGCACTTCCATGCCATATCTCCTCATCTCTTTTTCAATCTGGTCAGCGTTGCTAGGTTTGTACATGTCGCGGACATTCCATGTGTATTGATTGGTCACGGGAGTGCAAACAGTTTCATGTTGTCTAGTCCTGAGTATAGACCGAATCCTTTCGATTATATTTGCAATGTGGCAACCAAGCTGGGAAGCTCAGCATCGCGAAGCACATTAGTAGATGTTAGTTGGTTGGGAACGATCGACAGGAATCCCTGGACCCAGGTTTCGTGCTTTTTGGCACTCGTCCTCATTTCTTCTTTCTTTTTCATAGAAATGGAGAAGACGCATTGGCGAATTGGCTTCCCGAATGCTCCCACCAACCGGGGTTATTTCATCTCCCCGATTCCAGCGAGGAATAAGTTTATTTTTAGTTCTTATATTTTTGTGCTTTGAAGTTTCTTTAGCGGTTGGATTGGTTTTGCGGGGCAAAGTTGCTAGCGGAATGCCCAACCTTCCCTCTTTATCCGGGCTTAGGACCTGCTAGTCAATAGTGAACTAGTTAACTAAGCAAGGTCCAAGTAAAAATAGTCTTTTGTAATTCATAACTGAAAATATTTCACTGCTAACACCTTTTCTAAAAGTGCTTATATTCAAGTCATCCCTAATGTGTGCACTATTGTGGTAACTAAATATGGACTGTATGTTAACTAAAGTCAGATTGTAAAAGCTTCATATAAATCTCAGTAATTTTTTCAGGTACTTTGGCGCCTTTCATTTTTTTTATGTTCCACGAGAAACACAATGTTTTGCAGACCGGTGGCTAAAAACTGGTCTGCATATACCGAAATAGATCTCATCCTTGACACAACAAGCAGATTAACCTCGATAGATCTTGAACCTAAAACAAAGCCCAGTAACTCTGTTATTGTGGATTCTAAAAAACAATATTTTCTAGTAGTACAATACTTCTCCTACCAAACTATCTTCTTCCGTTCATGAAACAATACTAGGTAATTTTTTTAGATGTATGTTTTTCCTTAACCTCGAAACTATGACAACAAAGAACAATATACTCCTTTTGTGGGACAAAAATGGTGATAAACTCCACCTTCTGTAAATTTAATTATTTATTTCATAAAAGTGTAAGAATGTATCATTAGGGCAATTTTCTTATATGTTGATTTGGATATATTTTCTTTGTGACCTCTTCAGTTCTTAGATTTACAGTCACTGATGGAAAAACTAAGATAAGTACTCAGTGGTCTTTTCTCCTCCCAAAAATATACTATTGATACTGATCAAGTTAACAGAAATAAGAATACTATCATCAGAGGTCTATTGACCTATTCGAAGAAAAGAATTATGGGGACAGTAGCCCTTTTAGCTATTTTCATGTTCCACTTAATTACTTGATTTACGATGTATTCAAATCGATCTGATAATTATTGCAGTTCATTAAACTTGAAAACAGTTTACATCGCTAAGTAATATTAGTTGGAAAGTCACCAAAAATCGGTAAACAGTAGACATGTATGTCTAACTCGTATGTGATTATTCACTAACGTCAGTTATTTTATGCTTGTGGGTTTACCCTACTTAATTCTATATTAGATTTGTTTATTTGATATATAACACACAGTGATACAGTATTATTTACTTGATGACGTATCGACCATAAATTATTATGGTTCATAATCATGCCGGTGTAATCACACTTCTTTCGACATCTGATTTTTATAGTCCTGTCACCTCGTATTCTTTTTTTCTATTGGTAGTAAAACTTTCCATTTCTCTGACATAATTGTTACATCATTTCTATTACATGTGTTTGGTGCTGATTCAATGAACAAAGATTCAGCAATCGAGCTGTCACTCCACCTAATCATATTGGACTCAAGTACAGTGGTTTTATCCCACCCTATTGTTTGATTATGTGTTAATACATGTATTCGAATAGCTGGGAGTTTTTCTAAACTATTGATTTTGTTCGGATCTTTCATCCAATGTTTAGCTGAATTCTAATGTTCCACTAATCTGACTGACTCCGACTGGCTAGTTTCACCCATGCACTTGACCTCATGGTCATTATATGGGATTTGATAAGTTAGTTGATTTTACTCAGCCGGTTCTATCGGATCCTTAAGCCAACCAACAAAGCTTATCTCTAAGTGAGTTTTTAGACTGAAATGACATCCTAATTCCAGCTTTGTTGAGAATCCTACGTAAAGTTTCTGATGCTACCTTCCTTATAGGATAATTTAGTCAACAATAGCTTGTTTTGGAGTTACTTTTTGACTCTAATCAAAACTGGTAGTTCACCAATTTGTATCTGCCATGCTAATGAGAGCCTTATCAAATTAGATATTTTAAATCTTATGGTTTTATGCAACGATGTTAGCAATTCTTTCTTTAGGCATCTATGCAAAGTCCTCAAAGCGAATCCAAATTACCTGGTGAAGTATCTAGTTTTCCTATATGATTGGTCGCACAAACAGCGATATCTATGTGAATAGATTAGCTTATGGTAACCAATAAATCTTTCAAGTCTTATATACTGATCGAAATTTATCGGTTACGCCTGCGGTAGGACAAAAACTGCGTTGTGCAATACTTCAGAATATTGTGCTTACTGTTCAAAGTTAGACAGTTTATGGGCAGCCCTAGACCACGACTTTATGCTCTCCAGCAGACATGAGTAAGGCTTATCTACGACTTTAAGAAATCTCATTCTCTCTAAGATTTTCATACCCTCATCATCTAATCATTTAATGCAGTACTTTATCAACAAGCTTCCCAGGTCTTAATTTACCTTTTTTAGGTCTGAATAGTGCACACAAACTCCTAAGCAGTATAATAAACCAGTTGTACATGCTGATCTTTACTTTCGAGAAAATCTGACACCCAATTTTAATCTCAACCGTCAAAAAGTGAGCATAAATTACTTATCTCCATATCTCCATACTTTCACACTTCGAACTTTTATGCCTGTTCATTTAAGCTTTACTTTAAAAACCTTTCTTTCCGTAACTACTGTGTAGCATAGCTTTCAATAATGAGAAAGTATAATTTTAAGGATTGATTCCCTTCATAACGAATTACTACAGTTTAATGTATCGTGGTCATTTTTCTAAGTCTGAGGGAATTTAATTCGAAACATATAGTAGCAGGTATTTAGTTTTCCTCCTCCTTACTACCTTTGATTCTTTGTACTAGAAACTAATATTAATCAAAACAGAATATCAAATTTCGACTCTTGAGAAAACATTTCCCATCAAAACAAGTTTTTAGAAGTTCTAGGGAAAAGAATACTCAAGTCATTGCTAACATGACGTACTTCAGAAGAAAACTAACTGCAGCAATGAATAACTAGCGTTTCAATTTCAGTTTTCTTTGATAATTCTGAAGTGACTGCATAATAAACTGTTTAAAACGTTACCCAGTACAAAATCCTGTTTCATAAAATGGGCTGAAATAATCTCGTAAAATAACTTGAAAGCTAACTGTTAAACTTCGTTTATAATAAAATAAAGGTCATAGCGGGGAGGTAAACAGCTGCGATCTGTGTTATAAAACACATTAAACAAAACGGTGTGTTTGAAGATTATTTCTGGCTTTTTTTAAACATTTAATCACATAAGTAGTGAGACTGTCATCCTCTAGAAACCAAGTGCATTTAAAAAGTCTACACAGTCAATACGTTTCGATTGAAAATTTAATAATACTATGTAGTACCTTATTTAGTTTGAGTGGTATTGCTTGCATATTTGGAATCTGTAGTACCAAGCTGCAATTAAGGAAATTGCCAGAATTTTGAATTATTTTAGTGCCTTTCCAAACTGCAACAAGTTTAAAAGCTTAAGTACGAATTATTTATTAAATGAAGGTGATAATTTTCGTTCGTAATTATAATTTACATTTGCATGTACATAAATAATATTTTACATATTTTTGCAACATATTTCCTTCAGAACTCATGATGAATCACCGCCACCATATGAGGATTTCAATAAGTATCCAAAATTAAGTAAATCAGGAAGTATAACAAACTCCTGTCCAATTAAAGCATGTACGCAACAACCTCAGCAGTGTCCTCATGTTGATTTCGAAAACTTTGTCAACTCTTCAGCACCACTTGACACTCATGGAGTGACATGGGTAGAACCATACCCTAAACCTCATGGAGAACCACCTCCCACCATATTCAACTGGCTTCGTAGTCGATTTGGTTCTTTCCGTCAAAGTATTGTGAGTCGTTTGTCAACAAGAAGTAGTCACTTGATGCATTCTTCACCATCCAGTTCACATATTCATACTGTTACACCTAACTTCGTAGCCTCTACAGATGTTAATAATACTCCAAGAATCGATCAATCAGAGCCCTCACAGTCTATGTCCACTACAGTGTCATCAGCCATATCGGCACACATGCTTTCAACACCAAATGTTTCAGATGACATAAGTACATCATCATCTTCAATATCGACTGTGTCATCAGTAACTCACATAAATGATCATCAAAAAGTTATCGAGTCGTCTACTTGTATACCAAACACTTATAATTTTGAAACATCACATTCCAATGATAATAGTATACCATGCAGGATTTTAATAGTTCATCGTTTGAACACTGAACAGTCGAACTTGCATCAAACGAATTCTCAAGGTGATAGTGGTAACTCCCTAGATGAGGAGGTAGATCACTCCATGACCCAATCTTGTACAGATTCCTATAGGCTGCAAAACTTCATTGTACTAAAGGTATGTGGTACACATTTTTCTTTTTTAAAATCTTTACTGTACACAGCATTTCAGAAAGCCCAACTACAAAATAAACAAATTCGTGTACACTCATAAGTTCAACTTTTATGAGAGGAAAGCTACCAAGATTTTACCATGATCATAAATAATGCAGCTCCATCTTAGTTACGCCACTTGAAATTTGAAGTGGACTTTATGACTGAAAAGTTACTATGTAGATAAATATGCGGCAGCATTTCTATGAGGAAAAGGATAAAGTACGCGACAAACTAAGAAATGCATCACAGCAAGTTCAAATTCTTAAACCCACACAGTAATCTACCAATATTCTGTTGGTCACTGATCTTAATCCGTCAGAAATCCAGATTATTACACTTCATTTATCATTCTTTGAGAAATTAAACGACATACATGGACACAAAGAATGAAATATAAAATTTATATGTTTTCATGCTAACTAGTTGAGTGTATATAAGTCAAAAGGTATGATAAATCACATTCAAACCTGTATCATCAAAACCGTGTTTCTAGCGTTAAACGGGGTATAAAATGACGTACGGCAAGTTATACTATTAGCTATATTCATAAATTCATTGGTACAGAAAGCTTCAGCTCACAGTCATACAGTATAATTTACTGGATGACACTTCCAGCAAAATTTATCCTTCATATTTATATCAGAGTAATTATGCGTCTTTCAAACTTCCATTATATAGTTCAACAGTCCATTCATTTATTTAAATGGTAGTAAAATTTTCCAGGTACCTGCAATATGTGATGAGTTACATGTTAGGTGTTGATTCAATGAACACAGGGTCTGTGATCACTCTCTCCTTCCACATATCTATACTGAATTTCAGATTTGTTACAGTATCCCACCCTATAGTGTGATTATGAATCAGTGCATACAGGGCGATAGCTCAGTTTTCCTCTAAATTACTTACGGTCTACCATTATATGTTTTGCTAAATGCTTGGGCTCTGAATGATATTCCGAATGATATCGATTGGCTGATTTGACACATATGCTTGACCTCATAATCATTGCGTAGTATTTGATAGTTTAGGTTCTTTACTGTTCATAATTGGCTCTGCTGGGTCTTTTAGCTTATGAAGTTTCTCCCTGGGAGAGTTCTTTGGTTTAAATACCAATCTTATCCTCCCAGTATTGTTAAGAATTTAAAATATTATTTCCGAAGTGGCTTTTTTATACGGTAACCATACAAAGGATTTGAATTCCTTCTTAGACATGTTGTAATCGCCATTAACATTACCACTCCTCTTATCAGTCTTTATAAGCTTTTTAGTAAACCCCGAAGGGTAGTTATCGGAAGGTGGTATCCCTTTAATGTGGTTCAGTTACTTATTTAGGTTTTCTGACTTGCTTACCAAACTCCTAGTCTGATTACTTATACATTTTATTAAGCCTACTGTGACAGATATGGGGTAAGATGACGTGATATCCAAGTGTCTATTCTACATTGGTGTGTAAGATTTCATCGTCTCTCCTATTGATTTTGCAGTGTAATGCAGATAATCCTCCTTCTTCATTTTCGAATTCATAAGTGAATTAGATTGCATCTATTGTTGACTTAGTGTACACGAAAAAGAAATTTAGTATGGAATTATACTCTACCTGTAATGCTCAGGTTTGACGCTGAAATTAAGGTTTTACAGGTTGGAACATCTAGAGTATAAACGCTAACATTTTATTTGACTACATATTTCAGCATTTCATAAAAACGAACATTTCCACATTATGTAAGGGTGAGGTGAGGTTTAGACTAAAATAAAGAAAATTATTTAACATTTCATGATGAAGTTTACTACATAGAAAACTAACTTTCTATTGTAACTGTTAAGTTAGTATCTTAGCTGATTATATCTAGATAGCTAGATTAATTTTTGACAAAATTCATTGGAAGTTATAAGCATTAGTCTTTATCGCGATTCAAGTGAGGAATGCCAAGTTCCCCTTCACAATATCCCGCGTGAATGACTGAATGAAGTGTACTAAATGAATTTTATGACTACATGGTTACCGTTAAGTTCATGTCAATAGTGTCCGTCGATCTGATGAAGCTCTGTTTAAGTTTAATTATTTGTATAAGAGTAAAAGAAAGGGCGTATGTAAATCATCAGTCGTAAATTTCACTCTCTCATTTTTAGTTCAGTAAATCAATGTGTGTTGTGGTTAAACATGAAGATTGTAACCTAATTCTTCATGTGCTCAGACTGTAACCATTGTTGTATTGTGAGTTCAAACCCAGCCGGAACATAATTATCTTCCTTCTACCTAACTGGTATCGTATGATTAAAGACACTTTTAATATTCGATTTTATTTAACTGAATTTAAAGTTCCGCGTATCTTTCTGTACAAACAGATAAAATAAAATCTAAAGATATCGTTCGATTCATGATTTGGAATAAGCAGAGAAGTTTATTATCGAATAAGTGATCACCTCACATATTATGTAAACGACTTGTGCTTGACTATTTTCTTACTTTATGGGTTCATCAGAGTATGGAATAGGCTGATGATGCGTTTAAAATGAATACTGCTCAGAATAGCTTACTTAAATGCATCCAAATGTCATGCTACCATACGTCCGCCTAATTTAAAAACAGATTGAATATAATGACATTTTTTCATACTTTCTCCTTACAGCAGGATAACGAAGAAGAATAATCACCAAATATTACGTAACACACACATGCAAAATATACTCATATTTGTTTATGTAAATCAGACAGATATAACGTGAATAATTTACGATATAGTAATGTAAATAATAATAAATAGGTGATTGTACACCAGTTTAACTCTAAAACGTAAATTTAATAAACTATTGTATTACTAGGCCATTATTGGACTCTTCAACCCTCTCTCTTACTTTACCAGATTATCTGCATGTATATACTTGTATAACTTGAAACTTAACCGCAGATTTGAACTCAATGTTAAACATATACATATGCACAAATAACTTTGTTTATTTTTGTACAAAGCACTATTTCGTAATTAACAGGAGATTAAGTTTTTGATACTTTTGAAACATTCTTCTGTTATTTGGTTATAGTATACATAACTAATAAAAGTTTCTGGCCATACCAGTAAAATACTCTTATTTACACATTTATACACAATCTATCGCATTTATTAATCAACCTTTTTATTACTTTGCATATATTATGCACTGCACCGTCAAACAACTTCATTTTCATTTAAGATTGTTTGGGGGGGAAAGGTAGTTCATATTGGCATTTCTTTAAAACACTCTCCCACAGTTTTTATAAAAATGTTAGTGTTTTTTCTAAATTGTTTTAAAATGAAGTATTATAAGGTATAATTAAATTTTTAAATGAGTAATGGAAACTTTCTGGGTATCGACTGAGTTTCGCAATCTGTACAACAAGATGAATATTTCCAAAGGCAGGTATCATTGGTACCATTCGTTGGATCTTCATGCATATTTATAATCTTTATTTCCAAAACATATGATCAACAATGACTGGTCGCTGTACATACTTTGTGCTAGAATCTTTGATCTCAGTTTAGTTAAACATCAAAACAGTTGTCGCATCACAAACTCCCCTAGAACCAATAGCCCAGGATTCGATGAGACTCGGCATTGATGCTGACCTTCTTAGTTTTATCGAACTCGCCAAGCTGAATGCACATGGTCAAACATCCACTCCATTTGGCACGCTGTCGTGTTACATCGCACTGCTGTAATTGACCCTCTAGCCAAATGGTTGGCACACATTGGTATCTTGGGATGAACCTGCAAATATACTATTCCATCTCGCTACGCTCTTGTGTTCTTCTTCGGTCACCCATTCGTGAGTATGAGTACGAATAATTAGTGGTTGGCCTTCGCATCTGCCGAGTTCTCACATGGAAAATTCCTAAACAGTCAACACTTGAAACACCATTAGCTTTTAGTAGTCCCTCTTGTGCATCGATAACACTTCCTGATAATTCATATTGTGAACACAGACATACAGTCGGAAATTAACTCATTTGTACCATAATCGAATGATTCCTATATTCCAAACACTCCAGATAATAGATGCCAACAATTTATGTGACAAAAGAGAGAAGACAATAAGCTGTAACTACCAGTTGTTGATATGTTTTTGTCTGACCTGTGGATAGGTACGTTGTTGTAGAGGAGCGTGAGTTTAGTGGTGACCACGAGAATATGGAAGGGAAAGAAGAAAATAAAAAACGCGAGCCAACGTCTCAGCAATTGTGCAGGATGTATCTACACATAATAATAAAAGATAACTGACAAACGGTAGAGCTTGACAACAAAGAGATGAGGCAGTCTAGAAATCGGAACTGGAAAGTGGATGAGTAAGGTTTCGATTGCGTTGCAAAGCCAACTGGTACAAAATATTGAAACCTGTCATCAATTATGTAGCCAGTGCTCAATGCAATCAAGTGAAGTTGGTCTCAACATAAATTTGACATTGGTAAACAAAGTAATCTCAGAAATCTCTGGATAAAGTTTCTTAGGGCAAACAACAAGTTTTTGCAAGCCAGGTACAAAAACGTTGATAGTAGCCTCTGCTACTCAACATTTGTTTAACGAGCTTCGGTAAATCAGTTGATTTCTTCGTACTCGCTTCTTAGTCTTGCAGAACGGTTCCAGGCTTTTGGCGGATTCCGATGCAGTAGATCCAGCCACTCATCTGTTATAGATCTGGTATACAGAACAGAAGGTTGAGTGTTGGTTAGTTTGCCTGGGACTGTGGTGCGGTTGGGTTATTCAGATGTCCATTTGCCAGACAGTTGTTCGGACTGGTCGTTAGAGGGAGTTAGGGATAGTGAAGAGATAACCTAGGAAGACAAATGTGTGTTAGTAAAAGACGAAGAAGAGTTAACTTATGGAGCAATCTTCTTACACCCAGGTAAGACGAGAGAGGTTACAATGCATGTAGAACTTAAGTAAGTGAGGTTAATTCATAGAGAGTGAGAGAGATGAAAAAGGCTGAAATTATCAGAGTAAGAAGAAAAATGCTGTAAATTTAACATAGTTGGAATGGTGTGACAGCAGTTGACTTCTTCGGTCTAGTTCATGTTCCAATTAGGTGAGCGTAAATCGTAGGTCACTGCGTAACTATCTAACTTTTTCTTGAGACTTTCAATAGATGGGGCGGAGACTACCTCTGCTAGTAATGTATTCCAGTGTCTGCATACCTGAAGAGAGAATTGTGAACGCACAAGAGTTTTTGATCTTTGATGGATAATTCTCTTAAGGTCTCAGCAAGGACCACTTTGAGGGCCATTTGGACTTATTCTTCTGTTCGGGTGCTTTCCTACAACACCCTTTGTCCCTCAGGAGGTTCATACCTGTTTTCGGATGTGGTGGAGCCAAGGCATCACAGACTTCTGAGTGGGGTCGCTTGTTGGCCTTGTGAAGCTTCAAAAAGAGCTCTGGAGTGAGGGCAACTAGTAGCCTGCGCACAAACTGTAGCACGCCGTATGGTTTTGAGGTATCTCCTAGGAAGTTGGAGCCGGCGTCCAGTCTCTGCGTCACCATTAAACCCAGGCCTTTCTCTGCTGTGGCATGATAAAGATCTGAACCACAGAGAGGGTAGGATATTTTCTGTGGATCAGAAGTGCGGGAAAACATGGATCGGCACTTATCCAAGTTAAAACCTGGTTCTTTATTTCTTATCCACCCCTCGAGTGTTTTGAGGTCGTTCTGCAGTGATTTCTGTTCCGTTCTGCACGTTACTGCCCTGCACAACTTGACGCCGTCAGCGTAGAGGAAAATCGGGCGACTGATATGCAGCGGGAGATCATTCACAAACAGTAGGAACAACAGCGGAGCCACGATTGCTGCCCTTGATTCACTTGACGATGATGTTCTCCAAGTTGAATACACCCCGTTGACTTTCGTACGGAACTCCCTGCTGTCGAAGTAGTTCTGTAGCCACGACAGCACCTGGCCCCGGATACTTAATCCCTTATTTTGTGTACTAGGATGGTGCGCGAGACTGTGTCAAAGGCTTCGGCGAAATCCAGAGAAATCGTTTGGACCAGGGCCTTGAGGTCCCGGCATGGTGTCCAGTGATCACAGGCCGTCAGGAGGTTGGAGACACAGAACCTACCATTTCGGAGGCCGTGTTGAGAATCATTCAGTGCTTGCTTTGTGTTCAGATATTCCCTGATGCGGACGCCTATCACGCTTTCCATAACGTTTGGTACCACTGGTAGAAGTGCCCTTGGTCGGTAATATTTTGGCTTCTACCTGTCTCCTCCTTTGAAAATGGGGGAGAGGATGACCCATTTCCATCCTCGTGGGAGTATTTGCTCGTCTAAGGAAGGGGTGAAAATGGTTGCAGAGTGAGCCACCCAGGGTACTGGCACATTGTTTCAACACTAATGGGCGAATGTCATCGCGCCTTGGGGATTTCCTCGCACCTAGCTTTGATAGCTTATCGAGAACAACACCACCAGCTATCTGTACTTCATGTAACTGTGTTGCGTCGAATAACGTTAGGAGCTGTTCAGGCTGTGGGTATGCATACTTGCCTGATGGTACGTTGAGCTGTGTGTCAAGAGTGGTGCTCGACATTTTGACGATCTTCTTTCTGGAGAGGTTTACTCCACTCGGACCTCTGAGGTCTGCTCGAGCCTCTTGACGAGGTTGGACTAGAACGACTTCCTGCCTTCCCACATCCTGATGTTGCATCGGTTTCGTGAGGCTATATATGCGTCGTGATCATCCTTTTCTCTGGTGAGTCTCCATTTGTGCCATGATTTCCTTTTGACTTTCAAGAGACGCTTAGTGCCTCGTTTTAGCCATGAAGACAGCTTTCTAGATGTTGTTACCACCAAAGTGACGCTTTTAGAAATTGCCACCTTAATGATGTCTCTTACCAGTTCCTAGCTCTGTTCAATTGACTTCCAGCGCCAAATTTCTGATCATGCGGCTCTCAGCAAGTGTAGTTTGCCCTGCCGCAACAGGAGAGAGGGCGAGATCCCCCCAATGATAAATATTCGTTGATGACCAGGTCAAAAACTACGGCAGTGTGATCGCAGCTTCCAAGCGGAGCTGAGACCTGGACACGTTCAACTAATAGATGGTCACTAGCCAGCGGGTATTCCAGTTCACGTGGTTTACTATCTGACCACCAGTGAGTATCGTCTCTAATTTTTTTCTCCCAGCCGAGCCATTGGATGACATTCAGCAGGTTACGATCGAACTTCCGGCTCAGAGTCGTGCTGCCCTGCTCCTGAATGAGAGTCACGGTGTTAGAGTAGCCAGCTTTCAGGATCTAATCGTGCCACATAGTCGATAACGTGGATATTATTTCGAGTAACTTTCGGTCATGTCCCAGATTGCTATTGGGGGACCTATCCGCCCCTCCAACCAGATGCTTAATGCATCTGACCGTGAAGTGGCACCAGATTGAGCCTGGGTGCTATGCTGATACAGTGTTATTGGTTCGTTTGCTTTCTAACCAACTGTTCACGCATATCGCAACCCCCCTACCTCCTTGTGTTCCCTGTCCCTCTTGAACAAAAATATGTCGTGCATGTTAACTTCGGTGTCGCTAATGTCCAGCGATAACCGTGTTCCAGTCAGGACTGTAATTTTAGGAACAAGGTGGGAACGGAGAGATCGTAGCTCTGATATTTTACTTCGGAACCCTCTTACGTTCCTGTGAAGACACCCGGAAATGCTTCATGTAACGTGAGAAGCCTATGTGTCAACTAGTAGCACAGGTTTGCATATAGTGGAAGACTTTATCAGCTGGACAGCTCCAGTGGAACCAAACCTGTTAAGCTTCTTCCAAGGCCGGTTGGTGCAGTTGGTGCCGGGTCGAGGTTGCCGACCCTACTCTCAGTACGTCGGTGTAGGGTGATGGTGACCCGACCACTGGGAGTAACTGATGTTTTCTGCTGTCGCAGCGTTCTAGGTCTGCGTTCATCGCAGCGAGCATTCCTGCTTATGGTGCTCTTGACCTTATGTTGCGTCTCTAGCACTATAGTCAGATCTTCTTGTGACTTAAAGTTGAAGGACCGTCAACCCAGGTGAGGCTATGGCTGTCAAGTGCGAGGGACGTGGAAGCTCACTGGTTGGGACTATTGCAACCCCACTTAACCCATCGGAGCTGATAACCACTCCCGTTGACGGAAGTCATAGGTGGACTTATCACTCGGGATACCGGTCGTCGGTCTACGTATTCCATGCTTGACAGTAGTTGTGGGTCGTTGTGCCACAGCTGCTTCTCGAGATTTCTTTCCCGACATGCTTGGTCGGTCGGA